AAGATGGTCTGAACCGTCCTCAGAGGTGGGAACGTGGTGGGGATTCTTCCCATCTGGTCCTTATCGAGCACTTTTGCTAGGACGATATGAATGGTTGCCATGATCGAGTCCCGTGCTTCTTCTGGGATGGGAACGCTGGCATTGTTCTTATGGGATTGGCCAAACTCGTCCACCTTTGCCCAAGCCTGCTTGCTTTGAAGAAATTCACAAATGACAGAAGTTCGGAGGGGATTGCCTTTTGGGTCGGGCTTATAAAGCTGGGGATAGTTGTCGTACCTCTCGCGGTCATCAATCGAGATGTCTGAGCCTTGTGTATGGTCCTCCGGGCTTTCGTTCGTAGAGTTGATTTGGGGATGCAAGAGATCAGCTGCATAGGACGTGTCAAGAAAGAGGCCTGGTCCACCCTGTTCGTCGAAAAAGAGTGAAAAGTCGTCCCAAGCAGGACTAAACGTGCCAGTCACTGAAGGCTCGTTGCCTTGCCACCCTGAATCGGAATTCGGGGCGTCTTTGGGAGAGGATTGGTCTTCACTAACGAGAGGGTACAAGGTTTCCGACAGACGAAAGTCCTCAGCTGTGCCAGACGCCGTGGGGAGAAGTGTGTCGTTGGCTATGCAGATCTCCGGAGCTGTTGAATGCTCAATCTTTAACCATGTGTTAGACGTGCCGCGAAACAAAAGCAAGAAGGCGCAGCCCGACGTACAGTGGCCTGTGACCCTTGAGCGCGATTCTCTGAACTCCCACGGGCTCGTTCAAGCACTCCCGAAAGTCTTCGCTCACGCAATGACGGGTCGACACATAACCTCTTGAACGCGACGTGGTCCCTTTCCAAAGTGCAAGCCGAGTTCTGCTTGCTGCATCTGCCGCAAGGAGACTTTCCATCACACCGTACTTTCATCCTCGCACACCGATCGCAGGCAGCGACTGTTCTGATGGGCGTCTGGGTTTCCAGCCCACTGTTTGGACCCATATTTGCACGAACCGGGGGCAAAATACCATGACTCTTCTCATGGCGCTTCAGCGCATCCCTACATGCACACCGTTTAGTCGGGGCTGTAGCGGTAGTTGGATTGGAAGTGCATACTTTCGCGCAAACTTTTGTGAACAAACTCCGCACGAGTATGAACGAAATGGATTATCTGGCGTGGAATATTTTAGCATTGTGGTTGTAGTTGTAGAGTGTTGCGATACTTACGGATCTGCCGATGCCGTTGGAGATGTTCGCTTCTCGAGAACTCTTTCGAGCACTGGTTACATTGGTGTTTGGGCCGCTCTTTTCCAGACATTTGAACAAGCGATTGCAAACCGCCTGCGGGCCGAATACATCAGATTATTTTGGTTTTGAAGGGAATAGACATCAGCCGCGGGAGATGGGCATGTCAACGGTGTAGTTTGGAAACCTGTATCAAGAGCGCAAAATAGAGGGAAAGAGTAACAAAGTGGAGAGAAGTAGCCTTAACGGCAACAACGATTTGCGACGCCACACGTAACCGTGTCGGAGAGTTCAGTCTCGTCAAACACTAAGTGGACGGGTGTGCAAAGGAATGGCCAGGTCGTCAGCTAAGTACCAAGTACTTCCGTGTGCCTCGCAGTCGATTATTGGCGGATTGACTCTGGTTACTGGTAGGAAGGAGAAACAGAGAAGGCGAGGGCAGATAAGGCTAAGCGACCTTTCATGCCAAGGCAGGTTGAGGGATGCAGGAGCGGGGTTTTGGATCAGTTTGTTTCGGAAACCACCCAGGCTCAAGCTATTTACGAGGATTAAACATTGGAGGCCGTTTATCGTGGGCCGCTCTATCTCCTTGGCCGGCAGTGACTGCTGCTTCTTGTTTTGCGATGTGATTGAATATATACAGATGTGATCTGTTTCAAAATGTTGAAGGTACTGCCTGAGTCACACAGATTCAGCGTCATGATTCACGGTGTAAAAGGAGCGCCGCTGTCGATTGCACTCGAGGACAATTTATCCATTATCCCCGTACCCCAGCGACAACTGCTGCAGGTCGAAGTTGGGGAGACGCGGGGACTGGCCAACGTCGACAATTGGAGAAGGAAGCGCGCTAGTTCAACTAGTACAGCCACGACGCAACCAAAGCCAATGACCGCCGTCAGATTTATGCACTAACGTGACTTCGGTTAGTAATTTTTTCCCTACTCTGGCAGCATGTGTGGAGTGTCACGTGGCAGTCCTTGGTTCCTACCGGGAACTCTGGTACCGTCTAAGGAAGTCAGTGTGGCTGCTTTGTCAGGGGATCCCAGGCTTCTGGGGCGCTGTGCTGCATAAACAACAGGAAAATACAAGTGGCAACCAAGTTCCAAACTGTCAAGTCTCAAAGACCAATTCGACGGCTTCTCTGTTTCATTGTGGCCGTCAATTGTGACAAGCATGCCATATACTCTTTTATGCTCGTGCAACTGCTCTACAGGTTTACCACCACCAACTTGCCACCAAGCCTATTCGACTTTTTCCCTTCAGATATGATTCTAGACCTATCTTACAACAAGTCTAAGTCAAGAAGTACTCCATCGGGGGCTCCGACACGCCGTGCACCGACATCCCAGGTCTCCCCCACCCCCACCGGTCCGATCGAGGGGCTTGTGGACGCGACTCACTATTGGATCATTCCGATCACAAAGCAAGCCAAGCAGGATTGTGCTTATTGGCCCAGCTTCACTTCGCCAACCCACAGAATCCTCGCACAGAAGCGGCTAGTTCGTTATCTTCTGAATACTTGACCTTGGCGTGAATGGTTCGCGCGAGTTTGCTAAAACCCCAGACTCGCTTCTCAGCGAGCAATAGCAATGATGCCGTTTGGCAGGGTCTTTACTTGTACATCAATCTGCAATACGAGGTGGGGGCGCTAGGATGCCTTCTTCTTTCTGGCCCCTGACCCCGTCTGGAGAAGGGCATGGAGTCGCCAATCTGGGGAAGGACATACAAATATGGCCTGTTATACCCTGCGAGCGTGGGCTGACATTCAGCTCTCGAACCCGCTTCGCCAAAAGTTGACTGAACCCCCGCAGCCATGACGGCCAAGACAGACAGTGAAATTGATGTCGAGAAGCTTTCGAGCAACCCTGAACCAGAAGCGACTCATCTCGAGCGGCCGACCATTGACTTGGGCAATGAGGCTGTCTTGCTCGACGTCACTGCCGGCCATATTGATGGTGCTCTTCTTGCTGGCTTGAAACTGGCGAAAGATGGACATGTAAGAGCAAAGCCCGTTTCCTCCTCTCAAGCAAGGCTCAATAGAGTTGACGGTTTCTACAGACAGTCCTGATTCCGCAGCCCTCGGAGGATCCAAATGACCCTTTGAATTGGTCTCCCTTCAAGAAGCATATGATTCTTGTCATCTTGGGCATCGCGGCTGGCTTGGGTGATCTCACATCCACCTTGGGGATCCCTCCCATCATCTTACAGGGCGTCAAATGGAACTTATCTCCCTCGGTCGTCAACTACAACAACAATCTCAATGTTCTCATGCTGTAAGTATTTCGATACCACGAAGGAGACACAGCTGAAAATCTGTGCTTAGAGCCATTGGTGGCCTCTTTTGGGTCCCGTTTGTATATTTCTGGGGCCGAGCTCCAGTATTGTTCTGGACGACCCTGGCTGGCACGCTCTTCTCACTGGGCACCGTCCTCACAGACGACTTTGACACGTACTACGCTCTTCGTGCGCTGCAGGGCTTTTGTCTGTCCTCGGTCCAGGGCATTGGCCTCAACTTTATCAAGGACATGTTCTTCTTCCACGAACATGCTCGCAAGATCGGCATCTGGGCCGCTATCTTCTTGACCGGACCGTATCTTGGTCCGCCGTTTGGAAATTTCATCATCGCCGGCACTGGTGGATACATCGGATGTCTCTGGCTGGGCTTCGCGTGCTGCTGTGTCAATCTGGCTCTGATAATCCTGTTCTCGGATGAAACATGGTACAAGCGCGAGGTTCCGATCGAAGACCAGCCAGCCCGTGGTCAACGACTGTTTCGCGTGGTTGGCATCTGGCAGCTGACCATCCAGAAGGGGTATTTCCTGTCCGTTCCAGAGTCGTTTCATCGACTTTTCCGGGTTTTTCTCAAACCCATCATCATCCCGAGCATGATCTACTTGTGCGTATACACTCTGAATCTTCATCCACGGAGCTAACAATCTATCCAGCGGTATCAATATCATGTGGGCCGTCGGCATCAATATCGGGACTTCAATTCTGTTTACCGTCCCCAAAGAAGCCGGAGGATATGGCTTTGGACCCAACGCCCTTGGAGCAATCTGTCTGACCCCGGCGGTGGGCACCATCCTCGCAGAAATCTGGGGCCATTTCTTCAACGACTGGCTTGCCAATCGCTACATCAAGAAGCACGAAGGCGTGTTTGACCCCGAAGCCCGCCTCGTCACAAACTACGTCGCGGCCGCCCTGATGGTCCCGGGACTCGTCATCCTCGGCGAGGCCCTGCAGCATACACTCCACTATAGCGCCATCATCATCGGCTGGGGCGCGTACACGGCGGGCACATTGGCCGCGTCGGTCTCGTTGACCGCTTATCTGCTGGACGCGTACCCCATCGCTGCTGGGGAGGTCAATGCTCTGCTCAACTTTGCCCGGGCCATCAGCGGCTTCTCGGTCGGGTATTTCCAGGTGCAGTGGGGTGCGAAGGTCGGGTATGATGGGTCTTTTGGCACACAGGCCGCCATCGTCGGCGTGTCTGTGAGCATTATTGTCATTCTCCATGTCTATGGCGGTCGAATGCGTGCCAAGGGTGGGCACATATGAGCGACCAGTCTCAGCGTAGTCTGTTGGTGCTGGGCGCGCTCCAAGAGTCCTTTCTGAGGAGTGTTCGACACTGCGATGAGCACTTTCGCGTCTGGTCTCGAACGGTGAAGCCATAGAGACATTTACATGGTTAATGCAGGTACAAGAGTCGTCCAATGTTGAGCTGAGCGAGTCATTCCAGTAGATCAAGAGAATATCCATTCTCTACAACGTATTATTCGCTCTAGCAAGCTCACAGATCCTGCTTCAACATCCTCGCATTATTCGACGCCTCAAACATGTTCAGAATCTGACTGTGCGCTACCAACAAGATACCCCCTCCTGGGCAGAACCGCAGAAGCTTCGCAGTCAGGCCTTTATACAGACCCCTGATACCCTCCTCGCGCGCCACCGTGATCAACGCCGGGAAAGCCCAGTTATATTTTGCCGCGGCACCTTTTGCCCGGGTTGACGCCTGGATCCTCGTCTTGACGACGTCCAGGGGCGTGTTGAGCACGGTGCCCAAACTGCCGCCGATCGCGCCGGTGACAAAGTTCGTGAGGGTCTGCTCGACGTCCGTCGAGGGCGTGGGCAGCGCCGCCTTGACTTTGAAGATGCTCCCAAAGTACCCGGCGTTCCAGACGATGTGGCGCCACAGGGTGCTCTCGAAGCCTTGGTACAGCACGAGGAGACCCTCGCTCTTGACGACATGGGCCACGCACCGCGTCACGGACTTGTATCTGCTCGCGACAGAGGGGTCTTGCAGTCGTACCTTGACGAGCTCGAACGGCGTCACCACCACGGCTTCCACGGCGCCAGCGGTCGAGCCGGCGAGTAAGGCTACGGTCTGATTGACTTTCGGGGCGCCGAGGAGGCGCAGGTACTGTCTGGTGAAGATGTCGTTGGACGAGAATTTGACTGCTCTAGAAGAGAGAGAGAGATAGGGTCAACTCAGTCGGTGCTGCGTCCTCAATACGTGTTATGACTGGGAAAGAGACGGACCTTTTCGGGGTCTCCATCAGGATGGGAACGGTGATGCCACGGTACAGGCGTCGGAATCTGCCATGCTTATCGCTAAGTACTTTTTCTCTTGAGCCGTCAGTGTAGTGTGCAGTGAGAGATACCCTTCATGCCTGATGATCTTTGCGAAGCAGTCCATCACACCCCGGTACGACTCTGCCGAGAGGCTCTTCGATCGCTGCAATTGTCTTTCGCAGGGTCAGATCATTTGTTTGACACACCAGTGATGGCTGTACGTACAGCCTGGTCTTGACGACGTCCAGGGGGTACCTAGCCGTACATATATCAGCTCCGTGTACCCTCCCAAGGTCCAATACTCCTGGCACTGCCACAAGCACTGTAGTTGTACGCACATGATCAAAATCTAAACGACAGCACATTGTATTTTCAGTCAGCTCCTCAGTCATTCAGCGAACCACCCTCCACGGTGCCTTGCACCAAGACTATCGGCCATCATCTTCGTCATGACCACGTACCTCCGAAACACCCGCTCCCGCTCCTGAAGAAGATTCACATCCAGCTCCGTCAGCGTCGACTCTCTTTCCTTCGCATGGTATGGTTCAAGTTGACATACCGGCTGCAAACTCCTGCACAAACGTCACGTTTCTTTTCTGAGCCATGGCTCTTCCTGCCCAACAAGATGATGTTCTAGAAATATATGCTCAAAACGACTGGAGCGATTGAGCAAGGCTGGATGGAGGGTTTGTCCCGTCATCAGCTCGACTCCTACGGTAGTATGCAGTGTCGGTATGGACTTGCATCAACACTCTGTCTACCCCTAGTGTGCGGACCAATCAGAAGGATATCCCACTGGAGGCTGAATCCGGACTCGACTACAAGTACAAGTATGCCACAAATCCATAGAGCTGGATGCTCAGGTGCAGACCTAGTAAGCAACCCGATGTGATGTGGGGAGATGGCCTAATGATACTACTACAAGTAGACTAGGTATGGACTATCTTGGTATAGTATTGTGGGGTTTGGACTTCTTCTGGCAATTCCCCCCCACATCGAATTATCTCCTCTGCAGGATAGCCTCGCCAATGCTCAAGCAGCGTCAGATCACCAAGATTACGAGTAGTCTATTGTGTTTTTGCCCTTAGCCAGAATTGCATATAGATTGTTACAAGGTCACCTTCAGCATCATTCCGCCTCGGACCCCTAATAATCTGTTCAACCAATTCACCGCTGCGTGTCGATACTGGCATAACCTAAATCACCTAATGAGCAGCTCTCCACGCCTCCTCATCAGCCAACTGCACCACTAGCTCTCAAATCACGGATCTTTTCAGGTGCCAATCCCAGCGTTGTCCTCAGAATCTCATCCGTATGTTGTCCAAGTAGAGGTGGTGGCGATCGTATCGAAGGTCGGGAACGTGAATACTTGATGGGGGTGTTGACCAGGTCTATCACACCGCAGCTCGGGTGGTCCACCGAGACGACCATGTCGCGGGCCCGGACTGTACATTGCCCGTCAGTTCTGCAGCCAGCAAGATTGTGGGAAACTTACCGTGTTCGTGATTGAGCGTGTCCATCAGGTCGTTGACTTTGGCATACGGAAGGCCTGTGCCGTCGAAAATGTCGAGCCACTCTTGCGTCGTTTTCTGCCGGGTGATCTCCTCAATGGCCGGTTCGAGGACGCTCCGATTTGCAACCCGTGCTGCATTCGTAGCAAAGCGCTCATCACTGGCCCACTCCTGCTTCCCTAATCCTGTACATAGTATTCCGAAGAGTCGATCGTTGCCGCCGCCGAAAAGAACGTCTCCGTCGGACGTCTTGAATGCTCGATAAGGTACGACAGAAGCTTAAAGCCACAGTTAGCTCAAGGAACGAATAATCCAATTCAAATACCATACGATGTGCAGTGCCCCATCTGCCACTGTCCCTCTTCTTCGAGATCAAGACAGATTCGGCCATGTTCGACAATGTAGCAACCTGACAGTCGCTCAGACACACATCCAGATGTTGTCCTCGATTCGAGTTGTGCCTCTCGAGAAGTGCCGCCATGATGCTGTTGCAGGCGTACATGCCCGTGGTCAGATCTGTGACCGCGCAGCCGACCTTGACTGGCGGACCATCTCTCGTCCCCGTAATATGCATCAATCCCATCTCTCTGCCGATACAATTAGTCCCTTTGCCGTGTATCGGACCATGTTCGAAACCTCACGCTTCCACCATCACGTCATATCCAGCCCGGTCGTGGTATGGGCCGTATTGACCGTATCCAGTTATGCTCGCGTATATCAGCCGTGGATTTGTCTTTTCCAAAGTCGCAAAGTCCAGTCCATATCTCTTCAGCGTCCCAGGTAGAAAGTTCTCGACAAACACATCGGCGGTTCGTGCTAGTTCTCGGATGATACCTGCACCTTCTGGATGCTGAAAGGAGACACCCACCGACTTCTTGTTGCGATTCACCTTCCCTTCCATGTCAGTGTCGTCTGTCTGAGATCGCAGCACTAACGAACTGTTCTCACCGAGAGGTAATATGCACTTTCGCCAGGTCCGCTCCGGCCATCGAGGTAAGGGGCGTAAGGTGGACCCCATTGTCGCGTGTCGTCGCCGCGGACGGGATGCTCGATTTTGGTGATCTCGGCGCATGGAGGCTATCAGCAGAGAGGTGATCGAGTCTGTCGTCTTCACTCACCCAAGGTCGCCAAGAATTTGCGTGCAATATGGCTGGAAACCTGTCAGACGAGGAAGGTCAAGTGGGTGATGGCAACCTACTCCAGCCAGAACCCTTGTGAGATCCACGACCTTGATTCCCTGCAACGGGAGGTTCTTCTCAGAGGATAACGACGCAATCCTTCTAGAAGGCGTAAACTTGCCTATCGAGGCTAACCGCGAAAGCTGTCTCCCAGCAGCTGTGACAGGAATCATGTTGGAGGTTTTCTCTCAGTAGGTCATTGCTCAGGATAGGGAACGCTTCAGGGTGCGCGGGTCTTTCTGTGACTGAATGAGCATGTTTGTGTATATCCAGACCGTGCAACGCTCTTTTGGACAATCGCGCAAATTGTTTGGTATCATGTGGGTTCATCGTCGCAATTGGGAAACTGGCAAATTGTCTCGACTCTTTGGGGCCCTACGCTACCATTTTCCCAGGGGCTGGAGGTGCCTAAGGAGGATTGGAGGTGGGGCCTATAGGCGTCGCCCCCGCCTAAATCGGTGCCTAATGCCCAAGTGGGAGTCCTTGTTTCCGCCTGGAGAATCAGTCGCGATGGTAGACCTGGTGTTTTCAACTGATTCTATGATGGTGTACTCTCCAGCCAATTGCTTCGGTGTCAAACTACACCCTTGAACCACGATGTCGAAACTGCGGATATTCCTACACTGCCGTGGAGGCACGAGAAACCCATTCACCGTCGTGTACCCTCAGCTTCGCTCATTTTCCAGCAGTCGTTCCCGATGTCGGATCAACAAATTCTGGAGCTCGTCCTTCGAAGCCGTCGCCGACATCAAGAGTGGCGACACCGTCCTGGTCGGCGGGTTTGGGTTGTCGGGAGTACCCATGACACTGATCAACGCCCTTCGCGACCACCCAGAAATCAAAGATCTTACGGTGGTGTCGAATAACGCTGGGATGCCAGGCATAGGACTCGGCCAACTGCTGGACACGAGGCAAATCAGCAAGATGATTGCCTCGTACATTGGGGAAAACAAAAAGTTCGAGTCCATGTACTTGTCCGGCGAGCTCTCCTTGGAGCTCACGCCGCAGGGGACGATGGCAGAGAGATGTGCAGCCGGGGCAGCTGGCGTGCCTGCATTCTACACACCAGCCGCGTTTGGAAGTATAGGTAAGAGACCTGGACAGCTGGCCACCGTTTTCAGAGGACTCAAATTTCGTCACAGTGCAGACGGGAGAGCTTCCAGTGCGGTACAAGCCCGACGGCTCAGTTGACCTCATGTCCAAGCCTCGCGAGACACGCAGCTTCAGAGGCAAGGACTATCTGTTGGAAGAATCAATCTTTGGAGACGTCGCGCTGATCAGAGTCGACAAGGCTGATCGGATGGGGAATTGCCGGTTTCGAAAAGCACAGAACAATTTCAATGAGGCCATGGGGAAAAATGCAAAGCTGACAATCGTCGAAGCGGACCATCTCGTCGAGGCTGGAGAAATTGCCCCTGAGGACATTCACCTACAGGGTATCTATGTTGATCGAGTCATACAAGCGACTGTGCCCAAGGAAATCGAAAAGTTCACATTTGCCAAAAGTCCCGAGGAGCAGTTGCAGCAAGGTGAGTGGTGAGCACAATCAGCTGCAGATTTATACTGACAAACAACCAAGTGGATGCTGCATCGGCCCGCAGAGAGCGTATCGTGAAACGAGCATCCAAGGAGCTCAAGGACGGAATGTATGTCAACCTCGGCATCGGTATGCCTCTGCTGGCGCCAAACTTTGTTCCCGACGGTGTCGAAATCGTGCTTCAATCGGAAAACGGCATCCTGGGAATGGGCAGATACCCGGATCCCGGACAAGAAGACCCGGATCTCATCAACCCAGGCAAGGAGACCATCACGCTGAGTCCCGGAGCGTCGGTCTTTGGGAGCCATGAGAGCTTTGGAATGATCAGAGCCGGGAAAATAAATCTGACTATGCTGGGGGCACTGCAGGTCAGTGCAAATGGAGGTAAGCTCAGCAACACGAGATGACTTTAGGCAATACGACCTAACACCCAATAGATCTGGCAAACTTCATGCTTCCAGGTAAAGTGAAAGGGATTGGAGGTGCGATGGACTTGGTGGCCAACCCACAGAAGACCAAGGTCGTCGTTCTCATGGTATGTGGCTTTCTCAAGGGGGACGGATCTCAGTACTAAATACCTCACCAGGACCACGTGGACAAGAAAGGAAACCCCAAGATCCTTCCCGGTGAGTTTCTTCCTTTCTTCCCTGTCTCACAGAACCTGTGATTATTGACAGATATGTAGCCTGCACATTTCCCTTGACTGGGAAGCGATGTGTCTCCCGAATCATCACCGATCTTGCTGTGTTCGATGTTCAATCAGACGGGCTGGCGTTGATAGAGGTGGCTGAGGGAAGCAGTGTGGAGGAAATCAGAAGCAAAACAGCTGCTGCATTTACTGTTGCCGATGATCTGAAAACATTCTAAATATCACACACAGGATGGAGCAGGGGACCGTGGAGTGTTTTGCCCCGTACACGCACTGAAGTGTTGGATGTCAACATGGCATATGCTCTGTTTGCAAAACTTGGTCTCCTCGGATCTGAAATTGGAAATGGAATTTTGACGTTTGATAGCTCGTTGCTCTTCTATAGTTGCTCCCCAATATCTAAAAGCAGCATACATCGACCGCTATATTTTTACTTTCTCAAGGCTAGGACATCATCGACCATGCGCGTCGACGATCCCAGGTAATTGACTGGATCACACAACTTCCTTAGCTCATCCATGCCCAAAGAATCGACGATCGACTTATCACGGCTCAAAGCCTCCAGTAGGGAGGTCTTTTCCTGAACCGCTTCCTGGCAAGCCTGATACACCACGTCGTGTGCCCTCTGTCGACCGATGAACGGCGCAAGACCCATCATGACGGCCTCTCCGACGATGAGGCCCGCCGTGGAATTCAAGTTTGTCAACATCTGCCTCTCATCGACAACGAGGCCAGAAAGAGCGAATGCCGCCTGGTGTAGACCCCCGACCGCCACAGTGAAGCTTTCAGGCACTGCAATCCATTCGAGGTGCCACGGCCCGGAAGCCCGTTCAAAGTCCGCGATCATGGCGTCCAATCCCAATCCGGCATTCGATCTCAGAACCTTCGACGCCGCCAGCATTAACTCGCTGGAGATGGGGTTCCGCTTCTGCGGCATGGTCGACGAGGCTCCACGATGAGGCACGAACGGTTCCGCGACCTCTGCGAATTCGTTCGAGCACATGATCATGAGATCGAGTGCGATTTTGCCAACAGTTCCACCGATCAGCGCGAGAAGATTGAGCGTCTCTGCGATCCCGTCTCTCGCGACGTGCCACGAGATTGGCGGGTCGGCCAGACCGATCTCCTTTGCCAGCTCCTTCCGAACCACGATCCCTTCCTCGCCAGCTCCAAGCGAAGCCAGGGTCCCAGCTGCACCTCCGTACTGCACCATCAGGGCACGAGGCTGTATCTGCCTGAGCCTTTCGCGGTGTCGATACAAGCTGGACAGCCATACCGCGCACTTGTATCCAAATGTCACGGGAAGTGCATGCTGCAGATGCGTCCGTCCCGCCATGGGCGTGTTTTTGTACTTCTCGGCGAGAGACTCTGTGGCCTTGATCACCCTGTCAAGCTCGCTTTCCACGATCGACAAGCCTGACCGGATCTGCAACATGGACGCCGTGTCCATGATATCCTGCGTCGTGGCCCCCCAGTGCAGATACTTGCCCGCGTAATCGCCACACATGGTGGCCAGCTGCCGCACGAGTGGGAGGATCGGGTACCCGACGATTTCGGTCTCGTCGCTGAGGCGGGAGAGGTCGAGTGACGAGGCTCGTGCCTTGGTGGCTATCTGGTCCGCGGCGTCTTGAGGGATGATCTTTGCCCTCGCCTGAGCTTTCGCAAGCGCGACTTCGACCTCAACGCATCGCTCCAGATACGCTGTGTCGCTGAAGACCTGGTACCAAGAGACAAAGTCAGGACTTGTCTTCCTCACACGAGAAGAGCTCACGTACCTTGCGGATCTGCTCCGTCCCAAAGAGATTTCGGAAAACCCGAGAGTCGATTGCGCTGACTCCGGACATCTGTCGACAGTGTCTGGTCAACGCTTGCCGCACGCTGCAGTGGTAGAGCCTCACGTGCAGTCTTGATGCAAGCATTCTGGTCGATGTTGACTTTGACTCGTTCGCTGAGACGCACTCTCCTAGATACACAACAGCCAGACATGCCTGGTGCTTGACAATCGAAAAGAGCTGTGCCTCTCTTGGTCGAGGGGATGAGGAATTACCAGATCAGGCTAGGCTGTACACAACAAGTGGGGACGTAAACGTGTGGGGGACCACTGAGACACACAAGATCGGAATGGATATGCCGAGTCCAGCATGGTGGGCTTGACGCCGAGGAAGGGAAACCCACTGTCTTAGCCCACTTTAGGCGGGGATGGTTTGACAATGTCATTTAGTAGCAGCCTTCTTTGAAAGGAAGCCTGAGGAGTGCTTGTGTAGTCTTTGAACCTTGGTCACTAGGTGCGTGATTTCTGTCGGTAAACGCCTTTGTTTCTTTTGGCCTTTTTGCCGTGCATCTTCCCACACAGACTACCTTTTGAGTTCGCGAGTTTGACCATACATTACTTCACGGTACAGGACTCGACCATTCATTTCCCATATCACAGAACATGTGCGTCGAAATTCCCGTGCTTGATCTTTTATTCGCTACTTAGACAGTGCTAGTTGACCGGCACAAGTCCAAGATGCGGCAAGAGTCTCTCCCGTATGTAGTCCTCGGCGTCATGAAATTTAACCCCCAGCTTCACCACTTGCGGATCTGGCAACGACACACCCGGGTGCATCCCAACGTCATTGTAGAACCGGAACATGGTATCTCTTTCCGGCACGCCTGTCGTGGGCAGAACCACGTATTCAACGTTCTTCCCAGACACTGCACTCTCAAAGTCAGCCATCTGATGATTCGTTTTGAACCTGGAAACAAGAAATACCTTTTTTCGCTGCGGCGACGATGTCTTTCGGCCTCACTCTTGCATTGCTGGCCTGTAGGTACGCACCATCCAGCTCTTGTTTCTTTTCTTCCCATTGGTCGAAAATTGCTTTGACGATGGCGGAGAGGTCTTTTTCGACGTACAGCATCGTAACTGTAAACCATCATGTCAGCGTATACCCTGTCGGGTCGTGTCTTCTGTCAGGTGACCTACGCTCAGCGTCCGGCTCGATGATGGGTTGCTTGAAAATGATAGTCTCCGTCTCTTTATTGTACGACATGTGTCCTCGCAGCACCATGTTCTCGTAGAAGTTGCCCGTGTACAGAAAGGTTCCGTGCAGGCCGAGCTCGCGAATGTAGCCGTCGACGAGGTGCTTTCCTGAAGACCCCGAAGTCAGTTGACGCCACATCTGACTATAGGCAGTTTGATTCCCCTGTTTATTTACCTTCGTACAGCCGAGTGAAAAACTTGCCGCCGGAGAGAGCGTGGGAGCTAGGCATGGTGCTCCAGATGAAGCACTCGACCGTGCCAGCATCATGTGCAGCTTTTGCAAGGTTGCGGCCCTGCTGCTCCTCGCTCATCGGATCATCGATAATTGCCTGTGATGAGCCGTTAGTTGGGCGAGCGCAATGAAAAATGAAAAGCAGCACAAGCGAGCCACACCGGATCGTAGAAATTGGTTACGGCAAACACTCCCCAGCATCCTTTAACGGCTGCAGGAAGGCTCGATGGGTCGGTGAGGTTGCCTTGGACGAGCTCGGCTCCCGCGTCTGCCAGGGCCCGCGACGCTTTCGATTCGGTATTGCGAGTGAGGCATCTCACGGTATATTGTTCGGGATATTGCAACAGCAGCTTCGCCACCGAACCACCTGTGAGCGGTCAGAAGTGATTTGGACTGAGCAGACACAAATCTTGCCTTGGTTTCCCGTGGCGCCTGTAACGAGGACTAGCTTTGGCATGGTAGAATAAGCGACTTCACTTGTTCTGTATTCCTCTTGGGAACGTTGTATCCTTTTACCCTTTCAAACAGCAGTTATCCTGGTAGTAGAGAAGATGCCGGTGATGACGAAAAATGGTATTCGTGTTATCGACGCAATTCTTGGTTGCAACTAAACAAAAGTCTTCGAGCCCCGGTTGCCACAATATTTCTAGTACTGTGACCTATCAGGTATGTGGGGCATCTGTCGTGTAGATCATCCAAGGGTTCAGCCACCTGGAAAATAATGGCCTCTCCTTCACGGCTAGAAAAGAGGCAAATATTTCCATGTTTGACTGGCTCACCCGACTGTTTCAGGGATGCTTCTCCAAGTCCGTATGGAGAAATAATGTACAGGAAGATCGAATGTTGGAAATGGCATTACTCCTGATGCGGTAGCCCAATGAGGAGGATGCATCAGGATTCCAAAGAGGTCAACGCCGGTTAGCTGCAATGAGTTGCTGCTCTCGTGTATCATAGAGTTAATTTTGGGAGAGACAATGTGCGCGGAGAACTTTCAAGCAGTCGCTTGAGTGGTGAGCAATAGAGACGGGCCTGCATGGACACTGTGACTTTCTGCTGTTCCCAATTAGGAAACTATCGATATTACCCAACTAGGTTAGCGTAGCCACAACCCCCTCCCATAACTGTTGTGTAAACACATCTGCAATGCTAGTCACTTTCTTCTACCGTGCTCCTTCCTGGAGAGTCAGAAAATGCAGATAGATCACTGGGAGGTGTAAGCTATTGGTGTCCACAACCATAACGACAATGCGGAAGACTTGGCTTCCTTTGTCTCCACTCTTCTCCAGAATGACAGTGGTGCTATTAGGGCCTTTTACAGTTCCTCTCATGATATGTTTGTGCATTTCGGGGATGTCATGTCACGGCTCGATGTAATGAAGCTAATTTGCTCTGCTTGACAGTATGTGGGGCCAGTGATATCTCGGAGTATTTGCCAAACGACCAGCGGCCCTTTCATCACTTTCAGAAGCATCACAAGTCCCACTGAATCACAAGATGGCTCCAAGTATCAACGGGACAGTACCAGGCGCTGCGAGCTTGGAGAGCCTCGACGTCGACGATCTTACTTCACATGTCATCAAAGTCTCGTCAAATATCGACAACGAACGAGTCAAGTTCATCTTCAGCAGACTAATTCGGCATTCGCACGACTTCATCCGCGAGACAGAGATTCAACGCCATGAGTGGGAAGCCGCGTGGGAATTTCTGACCAAGGTAGGTTATGTAGATGGGTCTCAAATTTGTTCTGGAGGCTGAAAGTTCCCAGGTCGGACAAGCTTGTCATCCGGAAAGACAGGAGTTTATCCTGCTCTCAGACGTGCTCGGTATATCTGCTTTGGTCGATCAAATCAACAGTCGGCAGCTACCAGGCTGCACCGAGTCGTCCGTTCTCGGACCGTTTCACAATGAGTCGCACGAGTTCAATCACGGAGACAGCATCTCCTCTGTCGGAGCGGGCGAATCTATGCTCATCCGAGGAACGGTCAAGAATCGAAAAGGAGAGCCTATCCAGGGAGCATTGTTGGACATCTGGGAGACCAACGGCAACGGGAAGTACGACATGCAGGACCCTGAGACAGGCGGGCCGGACTGTCGAGGGAAGTTCTACACTGATGCCGAGGGACGGTTTTACATCAACGGCGTCCGGCCCGTTGACTATCCCGTGCCTTTCGATGGTCCAGTTGGCATTGTTCTAGATCTCCTGAACCGACAAGCCTATCGCCCAGCACATGTGGTGAGTGTCGTCTTTCACACATATATCCAACCCTTTTGATCACGCCGCACTAACGGACAAACAGCACTTTTTGATCAACCACCCTTGTTATGAGAGGCTCAACACGGCCCTGTACGACAGAACGAGCCCGAGAATCTTCCGAGATCCAGTATTCGGGACGAAAAGCAGCTTGGTCAAGGACATTGAGTGGGTCGAAGATATTGAAGAGGCCAAGATGTACAATACAAAGCCGTTTGTGCGCGTGGTGGATGGACGTGAAACAGAAGGGTTTTGGCTGTTGGAGCATGATTTCATTTTGGCGGAGGCTCAAGGGGACCGGAGCTTGAAGACCCATCTATAATGCGTTGAAAGACATAAGTAGCTAGTGATGGATTTTCTGTGGAGGATCCTGTTGGGACGGCTGTAATCAATACTTGGTCCAATTTGCACCTTGTACATCTGCGGTGTGCGTTAAATCTGAAAAATTATGGAGACATATTTTGATTAGAGACGGTAGTCTGCGAATCGAGACGATAGTTACAGTCATATTCAGATCTGGACTCCGGCATCGACATAATAGTGGTTAGTAGTCCTGACTGCATGACAGAGCTTTCAACGAAACGACCCATGATTTGACGCAAAAAAAAAACCCAACCGATGTAAAGGTAACATCTCAACATCACGCACACAGCATTTCCATAAACGGACACATATCCATTTACGGACACAGCTCCCATGTGGGGGGATTCACATTCACACCCAATACTCCTCTCTTTCGCAAGAATATACCGGGCTCGAGAATAATTAAGAGACAGATCACCTAACGGACGACCAAGAACCTCATCTACGTGCCCACACAGTAAACCATGGCCGACCAATTCCTCGCCGCGATCAAGACCCGTCGAACATTCTACGCACTCGAGGCGAAATCGCCCATCGCGGACCTCGACGTCGTCCGGATCGCCAAAGAGGTCATCCTGCACACGCCGAGCTCGCTCAATTCTCAGTCGACCCGCTTCGTCATCCTGTTCGGCGACGACCACAGAAAATTGTGGGATATCGCCAAAGAGTGCGTCAGAGCGGTCGATGCGGGCGGGGATTGGCCCGCCGATGAGAAGAAGTTGGATCAGCGCCGGGACGCGTATGGGACGGTAAGTAAGCCCGGGGACAGGCCTCTTCATGGGGAAGGAAAAAGAGTATTGAATACTGATTCCACGACAAAGGTCCTCCTCTACGAAGATCAGCGCGTCACACATGAGCTGCAGCAAAAGTTTGCACGCTACAGCAGCTACTTCCCCCAGTGGGCCGAGCACACCAACGCCATGAACACCTTCAACCTGTGGACGGCCCTGGAGCTGGAAGGTCTCGGCTGCAATCTCCAGCACTTTAACCCGTACATCGACCAGAGGATTGTCGAGGAGTGGAAAGTCCCCGCCGAGTGGGTTTTGAAGGGTCAATTGGTTTTTGGCACACCCACGGCTCCTCCGAACCCGAGCAAGACGTTTGTGCCGGCGGAGGGGAGGGTGCTGGTGGCGGGGTTGTAGCTTGGGCAGAAAGATGGGTGCAGCGGGCAGCATCGCTCTAGATGGTTCTAGATATGATATATATGATATCTAAATCTTGTCGTGACAGACACCTGAAAATGTAGAATCTTTCATCTTGTCGCTCGATCAACCCCATACGGTTGTTGTATGGTGACCACTCTACTCCCGCTGAAACAGGGCAGCAACGCCGTGACCAGTACTAAAGGACAGTCAGCGGCAGAACAATCACACTGCGGACATTCTTACCTGGCACACATGCTCACGACCCCAAACTCCTTGTCCTCTTGTTCCAGCTGGGCAAAGAGCGTCGCTGTCTGCCGCGTTCCAGTGGCTCCAGTCGGATGACCCAACGCGATCGCGCCACCTCTCGGATTTACCTTTTCAGCATCGATGCCCAGCACCCGAAGACAGGCAATCGTCTGGCTGGCAAATGCCTCGTTGATCTCGAAGATGTCAACGTCTTTCTGGGAGATTCCGGTGAACTTATACAGAGCAGGGATCGCGTAGATGGGACCAAGACCCATTTCGTCGGGTTCGCAGCCTGCCACTGTCGTGCCGAGGAAGCGCCCAATAGGTTTGATACCGCGGTCTTCTGCCCACGATCGCCGTGCAAGAATACTTGATGAGGCGCCGTCGGATATTTGTGACCTGTGGCACGTAAGCTGAAGTCCAACAGATTGCCCATGGAGGGTTTTACGAGTTCCCCGCCGTGCTTCTGCCGTCATCGGCGAACGCGGGTTTGAGCTTTGCAAGTTTCTCCAAAGTAACGCCGGGTCTGATAGTGTCGTCCTGTTCAACATGTAATATCGTTTGTGCCCCTGTGACATCGTCTCTTTTTGTCCACTCAACGGGGACAATTTCTGAGGAGAATTTGCCCAACTGTTGAGCTTCCAAAGCCCGCGTATGACTCAAGAGGGCGAACGCGTCCTGATCTTGTCGGGAGATGTCGTATCTGCGGGCCACATTCTCCGACGTAATCCCCATGGGTAGAAGACAGTCTCTTGCACTTTTGACATCTGAGCCCCTGAGGGTTGGGGACACGTCAACGGGGACGCCTCTACTCCCATAGTTTCGTGTCATGCTTTCAACCCCTCCTGCAAGTCCAACGTCGATCTGTCCGGCGAGGATAGCGTGCGAAACATGGGTGATAGCCTGCAAACTGCTCGAGCACTGTCTATTGACGGTGTGAAATGTGGTGGTGACTGGAAACCCTGCGTGGTTCAACGCCATCCGGCCCGTCTTTGCGAATCCAAGCTCTGCCAGTACGTTGCCGATGAGGACATCCTGCACGTCGCCTGCTTCAATGCCCGCGCGCGTCACCGCCGCTCTCATGACCTATCTCCGCATTAGGAACTTCGTAGCAGCAATGGAGTAAATGACAACGCCCTGACCGGCATGAGTATATCTTCGGGCCAAGCATCCTTGAACCCGCCCTTGAAAGACCGTGTGATGGGACTGCGCACTGCAGAAAGCAGCACAATATCATTTGGTGATTTCGTGGCGAGCCGTCCGAGGAGTCTTGCTGGCGATGCCATGCTGTAGCGCTTGTCGATGACTTGCACTACAAGGCTGCGCTGTGCTATGAAAGCCATCCCAGGCATGACCGCCGCCTAGCATTGCTATGGAAGCAGCAAATCAGATGTGGGGAACTAACCATATCGGGATGCGCGATTGTCCATCTCAGGAAGGGAAAGTGGGTGGCGAGGGTGGGTTGCTCATTGTAGTATCTCTAAGATGCCCCATTCATCCACATTTGCCGGGGACTTGTCACTATAATAATTATTAATTACCTTTCACCTGGTCACGGAAGGTGCGCGGGGCAGGCCTTGGCATTGGCAGTTAGTCAGATTGCCGTGGCTTCTCCTGGGAGAACTCAACAAGCAACATCTCGAGAGCTTACACGATCGCTTGCCAGGACAGCACCTCCATCGACATCGACAAGAAAGCAGGGTCACACTTCGACACCATTCGAGAAATCCTTTTGACTCATTTTGAGCACTAGGGACGCGAAATGAGCTTCACACCAGGACAGGAGCACTATCGGCCTGCCTTTGACAATAAGCCCACCCCAAAGATCAGCTCGGGCCTGACCTTTGAAAAAGCATGCGCCAAGCACGTCGAACAGACGTTCAATGCCACGCGAGTCTTTATCTTGGCGTCCAGGTCTTTATCGAAACAGACCGACTCTCTAGAAAAGCTGAAACGAGCGTTGGGCGACCGCGTGGCCGGCTGTCGCATCGGCATCAGCCCGCATACGCCCATCTCCGAAGTCGTTGAAGTCATAGACGAGGTCAAAGAGCTTGATGTCGACTGCCTCGTTACCCTTGGAGCTGGCAGTATCACCGATGCTGCTAAATTGGTCAGGTTCGCAATTGCCAACTCGGCGTGGGACGAGAAAGCGATAAGCACGTTATGGGGTGGTCACTCATACAACGCAAACCGTCGTGAGCACATCGAAAGGCCAAAGATTCCACTAATTTGCATACCGACGTCTCTGTCCGGCGGAGAATACCAGGCTATCGCAGGCGCAACCGAGACCTTGACCACACGGGCCAAAAGGACATTTGAGCCTGGCGTCGATCCCGAACTGGTCATTCTAGACCCGGAACTAGTCAAAACCACTCCTCAGTGGGTATGGCTGAGCACAGGTGTCAGGTCGATTGACCACTGCATAGAGACAATGTGTAGTCTGCAGAGTACCCCAGAAGGAGACGCTGCAGCCAGCCGTGGCTTGGGTATGTTGGTCACAGGACTGCTAAGATCCAAAGCAAACCCAGATGACTCGGAGGGTCGGTACCTGTGCCAGCTCGGAGTGATTCAGGCCATGCAGGCTGTCTCTACCGGGACGCCACTAGGTGCAAGTCACGCGATCGGCCACCAACTTGGACCTCTGGGTGTCGGACACGGCGAGACGAGCTGTATCCTGTTGCCCGCGGTGTGCAAATTCAACGCGGCAAAGGGGGCCAACAATGCCAGACAAGCACAAGCTCGAGAACTGTTGTTGGGACTAGCTCCTGTTCAAACTGTGATCAAAGCCAGAGGTCTGACCGAGAGCGACCTTGACTTAGGCGACATCCTCGATATTGTGATTCGAGAACTCGACATGCCCCGGTCCCTCGCTGCGGTCAAGATTGGCAGAGACAAATTCGATCTGCTTGCGGTGAACAGCCTGCATGATTTGTGGATCAAGACCAACGCCTTTCCCATTACAGAGAAGGATCAAGTGTTGGAAATCCTGAACATGGTGGCAGAGTGAGAGTAGCCATCGCGGGTTGGGATGTGTGCGTGTTTTGGAGTCCAATACACACAGAGCCCCGAGGAGGGAGGAAGAGAGACGGAGTCACAGGCCAAGAACCCCGCAGCCACTTGGAGTTCCGGGCTGTGCGGGCGTTGGTTGGTACCAGGTACAGGCGTTCCACCCCCACAGATCCGGGCGGTCTAGGCGTGGAGCCGGTCGGTGCTCGGCGCATCGGCTACCCCTTGACAGTCGGTTAACAATTATTGTTCCTTGACTTGGGATCTAGGGTCACGTGTTTGTTCTCCCAACATCCACCTACCGATTTACAATTCACCGAGCAAAATCATGGCTTCAAGTGGATATGTGAACCGTGATTGACTCATTCTATCTTTCTTACACGTCGTGGAAAGCCAAAAAAGGGAGACAATATCACCTTCCCACCGGACGAGGCTAGACAAGGCTAGACGAGATTACTGAAATGACAGACTCCTTACAGACCATCTGGAAGAGATGCGCCTATTGTGAACGAACCTTCTCAAAGCTGGAGCACTTGCGGCGTCATCAAAGATGGCGTAAGCTTCGAAATGCCCCTGCTATCTGATATCTGTCCCACCAACCAAGTTTGCTCGCTGACCACTCCAATCTAGATACTGGAGAGAAGCCGTTCAAGTGTGCGTTCTGCGGGCGAAGATACGCTCGGAGGTATGTGTGTGGTGCCCTTCTCTGGTACAGAATGGGAAGAGTCAGGGATCAAATGCTGATGTCTTGTCCTGACATAACAGCGATGTGCTGGCCAGACATATTCGTAATCATCATCCAGCTGCTGATAATGGCCCAGAAGGGATTGTCGTCGAGCCCATAGTACATTCATCAAAGCCTCGCATCTCTCAGTCTCCTACTCGGACGCATACTCCGGCCCAGACTCAACTTCGATCTGCAGAAGTCAGAGAGATGAATTTCAACCCAGGAGAGCTTGCGGAGCACTCAACCACCACGATCGACCGAATCCGCATTGTCCCATCGACAGTGGGAGGAACACAACCAACTATGGCCCCTCAGACTCCCTCTATGCGACCAAACTCAAGGCCCGAGAACAGACCAGGAGATATTTCCCTGACCTGGAAATCCCCAATCCTGGGGCCTCCTCTTCGACCTGATAATCTAGCGAGTCAACCACCGAACAACCCCGTGGGCGGTAATGTGACCAGCGTTCAATTCAGAGGAAATGGTCACCTCTGCTCTGAAGAGACTGTAAGGCTGAATCATGAGACAATCGAACCGTCCCAGCTATCGGAAAATCATCGCAGCCAATCAGTGCACAACAACGGCACCTCACAGATGGACATCTCGCAAGCCAAACCTACAGAACCACTAATCAGCCACCATGGTTTGGCCATGCCTGCCTCGCCATATCCAGAGGACATGGACATGCCCGACATGATGGAAGGGGGAATGACAGACTTTAATACCGAAGACATTGACTTTACGCACACTTCTAATGCCCCTGATCTGCTCTGGCTGGAATCTACCATCGGCCTGCCCAACCTGGAAAACCTCATCGCCACTCTGCCGACTCCTGTTGACGACCATCTATCATGCCAGGACCAACCACTTACCAAAGGCTTGGCCTCCGACAGACTCCGTCGTGTCCAGAAGGCGTGGCCTTCAAAACTGGTACGTCCCATTCGGCTCATACGGCGACTTTGGCAGACGGCACTCCAACATCCCGCAGACAACATTCTGTGTCACGAAGTCAACGAATCCCGAGCCCAGAGTCAGGGTCCTCCTCAGCATGAATATCCGTCAGGGTCACGGTGGCACATTGATGCCAGCTGCAGGGACAGACTCTTGCAGGACAGCGACAAAATCTTTGGCAAAGAAGAGTCTCTGTACACCATGCTGGTCGACCAGGGCGACACGCCCCGGAGCTCGACGTCGACGACATACGATACCAATTTTCCGTCGGTCGAGACGTTGGACATGAGTCTGGATCTCTACTTCGAGCGCTTCCACCCCTCTATACCGTTTGTACACCAGGCGACCTTCGATGCGAGGACAACTCCCAGTGCGGTTCTTTTCCCAATGTGTCTTATTGGACTGTCGGCCCTAGACCCTAGAGGGTCGCGGGACTTTGTCCGCAGGGAGTGGATGGTAAGCATGCCGCCCCTAATTCTTCATACAACAGTATAGCTGATTTGGTCTTGAGAAACTCGTCCATTCCTGTCGCCTGGAGCTTACGTCCCAAGCCCTTGGTAAGCGTCCACCTTGGGAGCTCATTACTGCCGTGGCAGCTTCGTTACTTGTGCTCAATCTTGCTCTTTGCATCTCGGTTCGTGCTGGCCGTTCTGACATTCTTGTGTCCTTCTAATCAATCTGTGAAGCGGCGACTCGATGAGAATGAAGCCCATATGCTCTGCATTCAAACACTACACGTACGTACAGTGAGAGCCTTCCAGCTGTTTTATATCTGACTTGCCTAGGTGGCAGAAAAGCATGGATTATTTGCGGCTTGTGACGGCAAAGAAGTCGACCTCAACTTGATGGGCCCGTCATCGGACCTTGAACGGCTGTGGAAGCCTTGGGCACGGGTGGAATCTGTCAAGAGGTATTCTAGCCCTCTAAGCGCTGTTGCCCATCGATACAGCTAACTTGTTTGCCAGGATGGTCACCTGTCTCCTGATCATTGACGCCACGTACGCCACCCTCTGGGGCACGGCAGGGGTGCTCGAGCTAGACAGACTCGAGATCATTTCTCCTTGCAAATCGTCACTGTTCGAGGCTGGCGATGCGACGACGTTTGCACGCGAGGTGGAAACCAACGCCCAAATCATCATGCCGCGGATGACGCTGCAGCGAATGTCGAAATTATCGTCGTCTATGCTCGGGAGTATAGGATTGCAAGCACTACTAGCTGCCATCTCGATCCAACACTCCGTAGCTCGTCATAGACTATTTCCCGGTCAACTCGGCAGCGACGAGACAACGGCCGCCACGCCGGTGGAGAGATACGCGCTGGACAACCACGCAAAGACCATTGCTCCCCTCCTAGCTACGATCCCCAGTAGTCACAGGGACAACTTCAACCAGGACCACCGCCATGCCATGCTCCTCTGGAACAGTCTGTGCATGTCCACCACAGTCGACATGGACCAATTCGAGCTCGCCTTGGGCCACAAGGACGCCGACTCCGCGCATACCGCCCTAGCGAACATCGCCATTTGGGCCAAGTCAGCAGAGGCGCGTAGAGCCGCACTCCACGCCGCCCAGATTTTCAGGATCCTCTCGCAGACCCGGGTCTCGGAGCCGGTCCTGCTTTTGCACGAGCACATGATCTTCACGGCCGCGCTAGTCCTGGCGTTTTATGTCTTTAAGGCGACTCCTGCCTCGGAGCAGCAGGCGAGCAATCATTCTTTCACAGGCGTTGGCGACACAACAGTATTCGAACTGCTGCAAGAGATCGACTGGACCGAAATCGGCTTGGAGGGACTCGGCGGAGTGTCCTCGTCGTCTTCTCAACTGGTAAATGGACAGTCTTCGACCGCGAAGCACTTTATTAGGCACGGCGGCCCCATCTCGTTTGGTCACGTGGCGGTTGTGGGCGAAATAACCGCGAGAAAAGTCATTCTCAAGTATGCGCATTTACTGGATGAGGTCGTCAAGTGGGAGGGGTCCGACTACTGCGAGGCGCTCAAGGCGATTGAGGATTTCTTCCATGTTTGACCTGTCGACACGTTTGACAGGCGTGATGGCATAGGTGGATAGGAAGCGAAGGCAGGGAAGAACACCCTCCTATATTTGCAAGAAATATATCCAGTTGACTTCGTGCGTGCGCGAGGGCATGTGTCTATCTATCTATTTGTCTGTCGCTCTACAAATATGTTTTTGTTACGTCCCTCGGTCTTGGCCGAGGACTCGATACTGATAAAATGCGTAAGTATGCCCTATGATCGACCGATCAAGTGATAGTTGGAATTTCCTCTTCATCCAAATATGGAAAGTAATGTTATTATTATTATGTGGGGCGCCGTCCGTCCTTGCTCTCCTTCGGGTTGTCTTGTCTCTCCTTCTAGGTTCGTCATCCGTCAAGAACTACATGATACATGGTACCTGATACACGGTACCTGATACACGGTACCTGGTTTCTAAAGCACATACATACATACATATATACATACATACTTCGTTTCTCGCATGGAGGTTCGGATTTGTTTCTTCTGGGTAGGTAAATCGGCCTGTCTATAATTGAGTGACTGACTGACTGAGTGAAGGACCCCAGACAGTCAGTCAGTCAGTAACCAACCAGACAGGAACATGTGACAAGGTGCAAAGGGTTGAAGAAAAGCACCGTGAAAATGAAAGAGAAATAGTTCTTGTTTGTACCTATCCGTGAATATCTATTGTCCTTATTAGTCCCATGTCCTTCCCTTTCCGTACGTTCGCATAACGCGCATGTCTCGACTCTACCTAAAAGCTGTCATGATGATGAATACTAAAAGATTCTCCTGGGCCCGCACGCCTTCATTCCCTTGTCGTTGCTTTCTGCGCCGCTGGGGCGGGCCCGAATACTGCTTCGCGAACATTGTCCCAAGACGACTGCGGCTGCCCTTGCCCCTGCCCCTGCCCGTGCCGCGTACAGCCCCGGACAGCCTCCTCGAGCAACAACTTGACGTAGCGCTTGTGGGCCCACCCTTCGAGCGAGAGCGGCGCAATGGGACTCGAGGCGGCGGCGCCCACGCCGAAATAGAAAAGGCTCTTCATGCGGAACTCGGCGACGTCCCCGTCGCCGTCAGTCTCGGTGGTGTCGGCAGACCCCCGATGTATCGTGACGCTCAGCTCAAACAGGCCATCGACGGCGCGCGGGCCGTGAGGTGTGTTGAGCGGCGAGTCACCGCACCGCAGGAGGATCGCTGTCGGAGTCTTGGACAGCACGACGAAGTGGTTGGTGATTTCGGTGCCGACGTCGTAGTGCGAGTGGAGGAGCTCGGGCCGTCGCCAGAGCTGGTGCGCCAGAGCGGGCGAGGCGCTGTATCGCTGCTGGAGGTATCTGCGTTGGATGGCGTAGGCTGGAGTCGATGGTTAGTATGCGCCTGGAGTATGGTATCGTATAGTACAGAGTAGTAAGGGTGTTTAGGTCATGATATAGCGACTCGACCAGCCAAAGACTGTAGGAGGGTATCCTACGACGGGGACGACGGACGTACCACGACTCGCCCAAACGGCGGCACAGAACGCTTCGACCAACTTTGTCCCTCCCTCGTCATAATCCCTCAAGAGGTCCGGGTCCAGCTGCGCCAGGGGGACTTTGCGGACGCAGAGATCGTGAAACGTCGGGTTCTTGTTCGGATTAAACCGTCGGTAAAATGGTGTTTGGGAGAGAACATCGCGTGAAGGGTCGTAGGGCTCGAACTGGCAGGATCGTGTCCACCAACGAAACGCGCCGATGGTTCCTACGCCGCCGCACAGAGCGGCCGTGGACAAGAGTCTCAACGGGGAGAGTTTTAGGCGGGACATTATATCCTTCCCCCCCCCAGAAGGAGAAGAAAGTAAGTCAGGCGCGAAAGGGGAGCGGAGAAATTAAAGGGGGGGGGGGCCAAGATTGAGGGCAGATTCAGGCTCGAGGAATCAGGATAGCGAGTACGAGATACCTACGTTAGAGCACAGGATCGAGCCATTCGTATACAAATGGGTGGCCGATGCGTCTCCATGTCATGTCTTCACTTTTGGTAGAGGGGCCGAAATAAAATCGATGCCCCACAGCGCTTGACCCGATCCTTGCACACGTTTTGTCCATTTCCGGCAAGGAAAAGAAGCTGTGTGGAATGGCTCTACCTCGTATATCACCTCCAAACTTCAAATTCTCTATAGGACCAGAATAAGATATACTCGAAGGTCATGGATCTGGGAAGGAGATCTTTCTTCCAGGGATACATATGTTTCCCTGGTCCCAGCTCACACAAGCTCCCATCCGCAAGTCACAGTACTATGCCCTCGGTGAGGAAACTAATGTATGCCCCACATGAAGCCGTGCTCGTACAAGGCGCAATCGGCACGACATTTCGCAACAGAGACACCTACAACTAGCCATACCCTACGTGGTTCTCTAGTGTTCAGCTTAGCACCTAATATCTCTTCGTGGGAGAGAAACACCACCAACACACCCAGAGGAGATGGGAAGAAAGACAAGGCAGTATTCTTTGAACTCTCTAGCCATTCCCTCTACCCTCAAGGTGTCTGTACGTGTGACATCATACAATCTTCTCAAAGACCAACTTGCAACTCTGGCCCTTGGGCCTGCTGGCGATGATCTGGTCCTCCATTTCCATGTCGCTGTCCATCCGGGGGGACAAGGTCGTGCGACACTGCGAATAGACTTCGCGGAGGAGGAGTTTCATCTCTGCGATGGCGAGGCTGGGAAGGGACAGCGAGTTAGCATTTTGGACAAGAGAAAAAGAAAGGACGTGGCTGGAAAGGGAGAAGGAACGTGGCTTCAGGCGGGAAAGAAAAAAAAAGGGATGATAATGCAAAGAAAAGGGGGTAAAAAAGAGTTAGAGACTTACTGCCGGCCCAGACAACCTCGGCCGCCCACGGAAAAGGCAAAGAACAATCTGTTCCGCTCGGCCTCTCCTTGCTTATCCAACCAGCGCTCCGGGAGGAACTCCAACGGCTGCGGAAACACGACTGGGTCCTTGTGCAGCGTGTACGCCTGACAGCTCACAATGGTGCCGCCGGGGACGAAGTGGCCGTCGATCATGCTCCCTCCTTGGGGCACATATCGAGGCATCGACATCGGGATGGGCGGGAAACAGCGGAGGCCCTCTTTGACCACCGCGTCTAGGTACGGGAGTTGGTCGAATGAAGTCGCGGCGTTCTCCGTCAGTTCCTCGTGCAGCAGGCCTTGAATGCGTTGGGAGGCCGGCGTGGGTAATGAGAGGTGGTGCATCAAGAAACAGAGGGCATCGCCTGTCGTGTCGACCCCAGCAGCCAGGTGATCCTTGCATTCGGCTGGCACGGCATAGGGGGCCATGTTGGTAGCCTTGGCCTGTGCATGAAGCTTGGAGAGGAGACTGAACGGTGATGGCGAGGGAGATGCGCTGGCCGTCAGGACGTATTCATTTGACAGCGGAGCCGGCTTTGGCGGGCTGATGCGGTGAATGATATTGGAGAGCCACGGCATGTAATAGATGGCGACATTGCCTGAGAACACGTCAGTTACTCCCCCGCCCTCCCGGTTCGAACGACACCTCCACAAATCCTGGGGGTCTCACGTACTTTTCAAACTGTCGTGATAGGACAATTCTTGCATCAGACGCAAATCCTTTTCATTCCTGTTGGCGTGCGTGCCGTACGGGTGGAAAAGCTGATGAGTCACCCCATCCAGGGCAAAGCAGTGGAGAGATACCTGAGACAGTCTTGGTCAGTTTCGTCGAGATAGCCCAGCACAACTGACAAAGGCCCCTCACATATATGTCGGCAAATCCGTCACTCCCGTAACATTGGTCGAGACACTTGCTCAAAAAATCCCGGGCATGCTGGGCGATGCCGTTCAAGATGTCGGGCTTCATGATGCTGGTGTTTGCGTAGCGGTCGGCCAAGTATCGCTTCATGTAGCTGTGCTGGAACGGGCGGCCGCCGCCGCCCAGAAGAGTTAGCCAACAATTCTAATCATCGAGCACACTTGCATCGTCTTCTCTGGGAGGGTGAATAGAACATACTTCCGCCCTGGGGAGCGTGGAGAACAGCGTGCGCGTCCCAAACTGCGTGAACAGCGAGTAGAAGGGCGTCTTGTCATAACCGCTGCCGCCCGACATGTAGATCTCCTTGGCCGCGTCGGCGCTCGAGAAGGACACCTCGTCGGGACTCAGCCGGACGACCGCGCCGTACTTCTGGTGGAGGTCATGGATGTACAGGCGGCGACCGTGGGTGAATTCGCGGTACTTGAGCACCAGTGACGTCCAAGCCGTGTATTTGGGGCCCGGCAGCTTTGCCAGTGGCGAGCGCAGTCGCCGCACAGCCTCGACGAGTACCGCGACGAGGACAAAGTAGGGTAGGAGTTGTAGAAGCATAGTTGCTAGTTGCTGGTGGGAAACAGGTGGTTGGGTCGACGAGTATATCTCCGCTATTGGTACACAAAGCAGTCGTGTTTCGCTCTCTGTTATCGCTCGGCACAGCTATCTCGCTCGAGAACCAGAGACAATGATAGGACCGGTCTATTCCAGAGCCATGGAAGCTATATATCGAGCACTGAAGAGGCTCAAATTTTGGGGGAATGAAACTGCAATTTGATGACACGGTCCAAAGAGGGAAGGTTGTAGCGATGGTGACACCGTATGGACACCCCTTGACGTCGATGTAGTTGTAGTTGCTTCCTGTATTCCCGACCACAGACTGTCAAGATGACTAAAAGAAGCAAGTATAGAGACGATAATGGCGCGGTGGTGGTTATTTCCACTGGAGAAGATTCGATAACATCCGTCTTGTCTATCTTGTCTATTCGTGTCTGTCAATCGCCCCACCATCTCCTCATCCTTCCCGATTGGGATTGGCGGGGAATATCATCTCCATAAGTCCAAAGCATCAATTCCGATAAAGAAGCAATTAGATTTAATAATAATGGAACCTCCCCGGACAATCGCCACGAGGGCTTCCTCTGACAGCCGTCCAGCCTTTCCCTTCTCCCCAACTTTCCTCCTCCAGTATAGCGCAATGTCATCCATTAAAGACCAACCGCCCTTTCATCAACGAAGCATGAATGACTTGAGTCTCCCTTATCTTGATTGTTCCCTGTCGCGTCTCCGTGTCCATATAGTTATTTCCCTTCTGGGAGAGCTTCAAACGACTATATATGGTCTGCCGATGTTCCCCTTCTCTGATCCATCGCAAGCGAACAAGTCAAAATCCCCGCACAGGCTTTTCATTACCCAATCCTCTCCACCGACGGCCTTGCCTCCACCACCACAATGTCTTCAGAGGCGGACAGCACCGAGAAGAGACCCATCACGACCGATGTCCCAGCACAGAATCCTCCTCCTGACGTGGCGGAGATATATCATCTGCCTGTGGAAACCCGAGACAAACCACTCATGCCACCGCCGACCCATGACTCCCTCGATCCCTTGAACTGGTCCAAGCTGCAGAAGTACAACGTCATCAGTATCGTCTGCTTCTTCTATTTCCTGTTGACCTATTTGACCACTGCCCCCGTGCCCTCGTTCTCGCTTCTCGAGGAGCAATTCGATGCCTCGTACAATCAAGTCAACTGGTCCTTTGGCATCTCTGCCTTTGGTCTCGCCTTTGGCCCTCTGGTCACCTCGTCGCTGGCAGAGACCTATGGCCGCCGAGTGGTGACCATTGCTGCCACAGCAATCGCAGTTCTCGCTAGCGGTTGCACCTCGATCAAAGGACAATCCATCGGCCAGTACATGGCAGCCAGGTTTTTCCAAGGGTTTGCGGCCGGCCCTGCAGCAAACGTGGGGCTTAGCATCATCAATGACATCTCCTGGGAGCATGAGCGAGGTTACCGAATCGGTCTCTGGGCAATGTCTGCAAACATAGGAAGTGTTCTGGGTGGCCTCGGTAAGCTTGGCCCTCTTTCTGGGCGACAGACCTGATGGGGGCTGACTTCAGATGGCAGTTGGCGGATTCATCGCCACCGTGAGTCAATACTGGGTGGCCTACCACGTCACCATCGCCTTTGCATTTCTCCTGGTATGGGAGGTTTTGTTTCTGCCAGAGACCCAGTATCCTCGGGCGTACGTGGTGGCCCTCGAGCAGCAACAAGCGGCTGCCACGGCGCGAGGGGAAAACTTGCAGAATACCGTTGTGGACATCAAAAGGACCAAACAACTCCCCTGGCTGGTGAGAGAGGTCCCAGATAGCATGGTACTCATGACACACTAACACACCACCCAGAACATTCGCAAAATCCCAGGAGTCCTCCATCCGAAACCTTGGGCGACCCTAATCACCTTCTGCAAGCTGTGGGCGTATCCCAAGTTGGTCGCTAGCGTGTGTGGATACATATTTCTTCATTACTGGTGGTATGAGTGCCCTGCATGGCGTGTTCTCTGAACGCAAACTAAAGCAAACCAGGATTGTGGCCCTCCTTTCGATGATCCCTGCTGCCTATGAAGAGTACAAGATCCAGATCCAAGGTTTGTTCTTCACAGGTGCTCTGGTCGGCGTTATCTTCGCCGAGATATTCTGCTCGGGCAATTTCAGCGATTGGATCGTTGCCCGCCTCGCGCGGAAGAACCACGGCCAGCGGACGCCAGAAATGAGGCTGTGGTTGGGATATCCCGGCGCCATACTCTCTGCCATCGGGCTGGCAGTCTGGGGAGCTTCAGTGCAAGAAGGATGGCATTGGATGGTCGGTCAGGTGGCTCTCTTCCTATTCGCCGTCGGCCTTCAAGCTGGTAACACAACACTGTCGACATATATTGTGGACAGCTACCCGGAGCACGCCATTGAGGTCATAACATTTTACTCCGTCATCATAAATGTGAGTAAACATCAGCCAAAGGACTGTGACCATCGAGACTGACGCCGAAAAGATGTCCGCATTTATCGTGCCCTGGTACATTTACGACTGGGCCGCCGCAGTTGGTAAGAAACATGTGGATTCCCGGTCGGAAGGCTTTATACTGACAATCGCGCGTAGGATATGGATGGTGCTTCGGCACCCAGGCAATTATTTGCGGCATTTGCCTCCCGCCCATTTATTTCGTACTTCACCGATGGGGTAATCGGTGGGTGAAGCCCATCGTGCTTTCGTCCGATGAGTTGCCCGACGTATCAAGCTCCGAAAGTAGTGTTGGTCAAGACAAATGAGTCTGCTAGGTCTGACCCAACAAGGTGGATTTCTCTTGGGAAAAAACAGACCCGGGGCTGGATCGCTGTCGCATTCTTGGGCGGACTCAACCAGGTCTCGGATGGCAATTGAGCATCGTTGATGGCAAAATTATTCATTCAATATGGCAAGAAATCCCAATTCTGTTGACCTATATTCTCGTCAGCCTGGGTTTTGCTTTATGACACATTTAACTCACGCGAGAAGTCCTCCCAATCAACCCCGGAAGCTTCCGATGCACGCCAAAAGGCTTCGAGTACCTGCAGCGCACGCTTCATGTTCGGTAGGCGCAAAAGAGCGAACATATTAGTCAACAGCTGCGCAATCTTGCCACGTTCAGCACCTGTAGATTCGCAACCCGCGGTGAACAGAGGTGTAGTCAGTAGGGTTAGTGGTGACAAGGTTGCAGCCGGTCTAATACTCTCGACACATTCGATGATCCTGCGGACGGATATTTGTACGGCCATAGCACTGGGAGGAAGCCGGCGAACCCGTCGATGGATGTGAATGAGCGCAGTGTGCTGGTAAGCTTCGTTACAAAGCAAGAATTCCCGGGACTCCTCTACAGATAGATCACGAGCGCCCGGAATGTTGAATACCTTGGTCCGGGTCTTGTCGCGCTCGATCATCCTTCGAACTGACCTCTCCAAGAGATCGGCTTCACGTAGGAAATCCTGTTCCGAGAGCCTTGGGTGTTGGCCAGTATCATCGACTGCACGCCGTCTCTCCCAAGCCACCGCTCCGATCTCGCGGAACACCTGAGAAATATCTTCCGCACAGCCGGTGTACATGTCAATAGAGACACTTGCCTCCTCGGCTTCACCAATGAGAGATCGTGGACCACCACAAGCAATCTGGCCTGCCGACAACCCCTCAGCGGTGATAGCAACAAGAGCTTCGGTGATATTATACCACCGCTGCAAGAACGGAAGTGATGAATCCTGTTCAATCCCTTGGACTTTGTCAGAGGATATCTCATGAGAGGACAGCAAAGCTCGTGCTCCCAGAAAATGAGCTCGCCAGGCCCGGAGAGATGGAGATCCAGAAATGGCTTCGCAGAGGAAAAGTGTTCGAGTTGTGGCGACTTTGGCGCTCAGCGGACTCGATCTTGGGTTCTGGAGCTCCTGACGCAAATAGCGAATGCTCTTGGTCGTCAGGTGGTTGACAAGTTTTTGAGCACCTTCATCCATCTCATCTTGTGGGATAGAGGTCAATGAATTCCGATGAATAGCGGCCAACGCTAGGGTGGCATGAAGGAGGGCGGGATTTCCAAGGGCCATTGGTAATATTAATTCACAGACCTCTTGATGGACTACAGTGTGCGTGGCCAGAGCCATGGAGGCATTGCAAGTGAAGTACTGCAGCAGAGCACGGTTGTCTCGGGGAATGAATGACAACGGGTCGACGTGGTCAAAAACCCGATCTGCCACCTGGTTACTGACTGGAATTAATGCCAGAGCAGTCTCGTCATCGATCGCTGATTCGGTCGTGGTTGATTCTGTCTCTGTAACCCTGAGAGCTTCTTTTGATGGTGGATTCTCTACTGTGTCAACGTTGGTGGCTGACGCCGAGGTGTATACAAATCCTCCATCGAGAGTCGCTGTTGGAGGGTGTTAGTCTTGGAGACACAAAAATCCCTATTCTCAGGTAAACCCACCAGCCTTTCGCGCTCCTCCGGCCGTCTTTGAGAGGCAGGTTCCAAATCGGGACTGAGTAAAGGGGCGTCCTCCGAACCTCAATGTCCTCTGGTAAGAACAATCTGCTTGATCCTTTTCACACCGAGCGCACCGCGGTTTCTGCTCCCCGCACTTTTGCCGTCGCTTCTTGCAGCGCACGCAGCCATTCCAGGACCGAGAGGGTGTTGTCATGGTTCCATTGATCGCTCTGTATGATGTGCAGTCGACCGCCAAATTGAGGCTGCGCAGCGTTGCGGCATTGCTCGAGTGTGCGTGATGGATTGTGTATGGGGTGTAGAGGAAAGGGAGAGAGAGGAGTGGACCGTCGGATCAAGTCAATTGGAGGAGAAATTGATGCTTGATAGCACAAGTCGTTGCTTAGCGCTACTGACGAGGGAAGATGGAGGGGTCGCAGTTCAGCGGGCTACTCCGGAACAAGCGATAAACCCTGAACTCATCACGACTAACACCAAAGGGGAATGATGAAGCGACAACCATAATATGATCATGTCAATATCGAATCAAGTCGGTTGCAAGTCTCAAGATATAAAAGCCTGATTCCAGAGAAGGCCCTATTAGCATACATATCCATTCACATTGTGCCTTTCAAGGTTCTCTCTTGAGGCGTATCACAATCCACTGAAAATGTCCCCCCGTCTGTCGACTCGCCTCAGTATACGCTGGGTGCCTGGCGAGGCATCAGAACCCACCGATACATTAATCATTGGAGTCGGCGGCTGGTATGTCGACCTTCGCATCACCAAGCTTGACGGGTCAATCGACTGGGCAATGGCTGGTGAAAGGCTCATATTGTCACAAGAGCCATGTGGGTGATATCCCCTCGTCCCTCGAGGCTTCTGTTGAACAAGGCCGTGAACTGTACCTCGATCAAACCTTTCACTGAGACAACTATAGTAACCTGCAAATGGACTCACTGGATCGACTCGAGGGGATATACCGAGCCTGATGTCGGCAGCTTCAAGCCTGCCTCTCAATCAACGGATAGTATCGAAACAGGCAGCATGCTTCACCCAGAAAACAATATTATGACACCATACGAGGAAGTCTGGCGAACCCTCCCTGCGACCTTCACGGATCGTTTTCCTTCGGCCTGGATCCTGCGCAGCGTGGATGGCAAGACTTTTCTGGGTCAACTTGGGGGAGATTTTCTCGCTTTGAAAGGTGGCAACGAAGGACCAGCCGGGATGACGGGGTTCTGTGCCCGAAGAGAGGCCTGGGACGACGCGAAAGGTGACTGGATCACGAAGTACGAAACAGGAGACGAACAGAATCTTCAACATCTTCCTAGATTGGCCCAAGAGACGCAAAACAGAGCGGGCAAGGAGATGGAATGGGTGATGGGCAGCAAGGAGGGCGATACTGTAGACGTCTTTGGGGCACAATACATTGTATGTGCAATTGAAAAGTTGACCTGATCACTAAGTTGCGAATTGTCTTGTCAAATTCCAGGCAGGGTTGATTGAATATGCGTCACTGTGAGCAGATGTAGCGATGGAATTCTCAGCCTCGCGAATCTAGATCGGAAAGGAGATACGGCCGTATCCTCGCACTCATACCCAAGGTTGCCCACCCCCCATCTCTTCCACCCGACAGTGTTACGCACGCATTTACACGCGCAACAAGCGGCGGCGGGAAGAAGAATCATTCCTCTGCGTCCTACATCAGACGTGACTCACGTTTCCCGATCTCCCTGTTCCACGTCGCGCTGAGGAACAGTCCGGCGTTATGGGAGTAGCATCTACCACAGCCAAGGCGAGGATCAATGCGTTATATTTAAAGATGACTGGTCATGCCTTACCGGGCTGTGATGGATATACCCCCTTGGCAAGGATGAATTAGGATCCGGTCCATCACGGACGAAGGTGTGAAGAGATGGTCAATATATCTCGCATCCTTGGGTTTGTCGAATAGTTGTGATAGGAAAATGCAGCTCTGATATAAAATCGCGGTGGAAAGCTGAGCCAACCCAGACATAATTGTGTAAATTTCAGCAACCTCTTCGACAGTATACCTCGAATATTCTGTCTCTCGAAACAATCCTCAAATAATTAGATCCGGTAGAACAGCAAGAAACACAGTCAAACATGCCATTCAAGCCCCAAGACATTCCCGACCTCTCGGGTCGAGTATACTTTGTCACTGGAGGCACGGCTGGTCTGGGAGCGGGCTCCATTTCCCTCCTTGCCGCGCACAAGCCAGCACATATCTACTTTTCCGGGCGGAACAGCGACAAGGCCAAACGGGTGATTGAGAAGGTCCAGTCGCAGAACCCGGATGTGCCCCTTACCTTCATCGCCTGCGACCTGGCAGACATGGCTTCGATTCGAAAGGCTGCCGAGCAATTTCTCGCCCAAGAATCGCGGTTGGACGTCCTCTTCGCCAATGCGGGAGTCATGGCTCTGCCTCCCAGCACGACGGCAGACGGGTATGAGGTCCAATTTGGTACCAACCACCTGGGCCACGCGATGCTGATCAAGTTGTTTCTTCCGTTGATGCAGCGGACCTCGAAGAATGTCCCCGGAGCGGACGTGCGGATCGTCAGTTGCTCATCGATCGCGTACAAGCAAGCACCCAGAGAAGGGATCGCCTTCGACACGCTGAAAACACCTCAGGAAGGATTGGGCAGCCTCGTTCCCGGCGGAAAGTGGTGCCGCTACGGACAGAGCAAACTGGCGAACCTGCTGTACGCGCGGGCATTGGCGAAGAGGTACCCTGACATCACCTCCGTGGCTATTCACCCAGGTTACATCAAAACGGATATCTTCACAGGAGTCTCATTCATGACCACCCTCCCTGTCCGCGTCTTGGCCGCAGGTAACTGGACGTCCGTCGAGGAAGGACCGTACAATCAAACCTGGGCGGGGACCACTGCGAAGGAGAACCTCGAGAACGGCGCGTACTATGTCCCCGTCGCGACAAAGGGGGTATTGGAAACGCCGGCGGCAAAGGACGATGCACTGGCGGATAAATTATGGGAGTGGACCGAGAAGGAGTTGGCTCTGTTTTTGTGAGGATGCTATAGTCAGGTAGTATCGCAAGGCTTGCGCAGAGTGTTCATCGTGGTGCACGCTGGGGAAAGACGCAGGTACCAAAGTCATCACGAAACACGAGGAAGGCCATGGCTATTATCTCCTCTCTAATATTGTACAATACCCTTAATCAGTCAAAATGAGACATCTGAATGAGAATGCGGCCATAGTGTATCGTATCCATTTTGCTGTGCTAGGAAATTGGAGGTGTGAGAGGAATGTTCAGGTACAAGGCAGCAGTACCGAGTACGAGGTTGACAAGGCTACGCAGGGCTGTGGCACCCACCCACTGCCTAAAGAGGGAGCCGCAGGGATCATCTTTGGACCGAGGCTTGTGGACAAATTCGGTGCATCTCCAGCCCTTCTCCGCGCCCTTCGCTAGCTCGCTGCGACCTCGAAAAGCCAATGCGGAGATGGTCGAGTACCGGGATCTAATATTAATGATATGAAAGCCCCCTCCCAATGGATCGATCCCTCGACCTTCGGATGATGGAGTGATTACAGTCACTTCCTGTCCAAGTTGATCCCAGAGCTCGTCAGAACCCGTCCCTCATACACACCCCCACAGACCTCCCACGACATGTCTTCAAAGTCGACCTCAGACTCGGCAGCTTGGAAAGCCATCGCAGCCCGCAAACAGGCCTCGCGCGCTGCCCGGATCCCTTCGAAATGGCACATCCCCTCTACCGTCCTGCCCAAAGATCCCCCGAGCTTGGAGCTGGGTCCGCAAAACGTCCTGGATGTGCCTCGCCAGTTCCTCTCGCGCTCCGAGATCGACATCACTGAAAACTACACGGTGGAAACCCTCCTGTCAGCTCTGGCGAGCAAGAAACTGTCGTCCGCAGAAGTCGCCGAGGCCTTCTGCCACCGTGCAGCCATAGCCCAACAACTCACAAACTGCCTGACAGAGCCACTCTTCGACTCGGCCATCCACCGCGCAAAAGAGCTAGATGCATACTTGTCACAGACCGGGAAACCCTTTGGGCCGCTTCATGGGCTGCCGGTGTCTGTCAAGGATACATTCAACGTCAAGGGCGTGGACACGAGCATCGGACTGGCTTATCTGTGCGAGAAACCCGCGACGGAGAACGCCCCATTGATCAATCTTCTGTTGTCGCTGGGCTGTGTGATCGTGGCCAAGACGAACATCCCCCAAACGCTCGCGTCGCTCGACAGCATCAACAATGTCTTTGGGAGGACGATGAATCCTATCAACCGCCTCTGCACAGCTGGTGGGTCGAGTGGCGGAGAAGGTGTCCTTGTGGCCATGAAGGGCAGTATTCTTGGGATAGGAACGGATATTGGCGGCAGTATCCGAGTACCAGCCATGTGCAACGGCTTGTACGGCTTCAAGCCATCCAACAACCGGATTCCCTACGGTGGACAGGCACAGACCGGAAGAGAAGGGATGAGTCGTACGAGTGTGCAAGCTGTGGCGGGTCCCATAGCGCGGAGCGTGAGAGACATTGATGTCTTCCTGCGAGAGGTGATCCCAAGGGCGCCATTGTGGGGAGAGGATTGCATGCCGTGTCCATGGCCCGTCTCAAGCCCTTCTCCTCAACAGATCCAGGGCAGCGGGCCGAATGGCGAACTTGTAATTGGCATCCTACGAAGCGACGGAAACTGCACCCTCCTTCCACCGATCACTACCATCCTGAATGAAGTCTCTGTCGGGCTGTCAGGCGCAAGCTCACGCACGGGAGTTAAAGTCCTGGTTAAAGAACTGCTCACGCCCCGCGCTTGGACGCGATCGCAGTCTGTCATGAGCAAACTGATGGGTGTCGACGGTGCGGTCGTCATGAACCACATGATCCAGTCTACAGGTGAGCCGTTGGTGCCGTGGATGCAGACGCGATTCCGCTCAGGCAAGCCGCAGGCTCTGGAGCGCGTGGCGGAGTTGCAGGCGCAGCGATCCCAGCTAGAACGCGAGATGCTCGAGCTGTGGAGTGAGGTCGACGCGCACGGCCAACGCCGACAGGTCCTCGACGCCATCATTTGCCCTGTCGCACCTCATCCGGTCCCGCCCATCGAAGGCTACAACGCCGTCGGCATGACCTCGTCTTGGGTCCTGTTCGACTACCCCTCCGGCACCGTCCCCGTCCGCCCCGTCGTCGAAGCTGACCTGGAACTCGGCAGGCCGCTGGCCGCCGGCACGGTGCTTGGTAGCTGGGACCAAAAGTGCCGCGAGCTGTGGGACGAACACGTCACCGATCGTAGAGTTTACCTCGACACGCCGCTGAGCGTGCAAGTCGTGGTGCAGCGAGGGAGGGATGACTGGCTGTGCAAGGTGATGGGCGTCGTTGACGAGGTGATGAAGTCTCAATCAGCTTCCGGAGAGATCAAGCCCAGATTGTAACTTGTTTGACGATTACACGAAACCACTCTCCGACTCGTTACGCAGCGATTCACTCACCCACACCCAAATGAACTAGGGGAAGTGAACTAAAAGATGGAACCCCACACTCTCGGACAAGTCAAATTGAGGTCGGTTGTAGCATAACCGGCTCGCACGTGTCAGAGAAATGTGTACATGTACCTATGTGTACATGGTGTATCCGAGGATAAGTGTAGATACCACCACCATGAGAGCAGTACGAGGTATATGTTTGTGAAAAGGGAAATCTATAGTATATGACTTACGACCCCTTGCGGGCAACCATGGTACTTGCCATCTGTTGTGTGCCTACACCTACATCCATACTCCTAGCCTCGCATACTCCTGAGAGTTTTACTAACTAGCAAAGCATACATAATCAGGACGATTCAATTGCTCCAACAAATTCAAAGCCTGGCCAAGATACCATCATGAATCACTAGACTTCTGTTATTTTTGTAGGTACAGGATGACCAGATGCGGTGTGAGGTGAGGCTGGCTTGCGTTCAGGCTGCGGACGTCGTGATGGTGTCTTGGTGTGTTGGTTGCCTCAAGGACTGGGCGCAGCCACTGCGGAAACGAACTGCGCACCCACCAGTTGGATTTCTTGATCAACCAGCCACCAAAGCATGGACGCCTGACCGCCTTACCGCCTTACCCCCTTTAGCAACTGTCTGATCGTCCCTGTTCGACTTGAACGGAAGCCGTGTCTCCCTCTGACACTGATCCATCCAATCAAAACCTGCCGCGCAGGCGTACTCCGTGTTCACCTAATGGCGACGAGAAAACCCCCCGAAATTGGATGCAGTGTGTCGCTCGCTTCCATTCTCGTTGGCTCAGCTGCTCCTGGTGCTGCAAGCTTGCATGCAGAGTCACCCCCTCTTGGGCCTTCGCTTGACATCTGGACACATCGAAAAGGGCACCCGGCACCTTCGCCTGCCACTGCCAATGCTGGAGGCTGAAGATTGACGGCGCACAAGGCCAGCAGCTGAAAAAAAAAGAGAGGAGCTTTCCGTGTCCTGTGATTCAGGGTCGGGGGTTGCATGAGGTACGAGGTACAGCTGGGCCACCCTATATCAAGCCTGTCAGCCCCCAGGCACTGAAAAAGTGCTTTGTCCCCTGTAAGACATGAAAAGAGGCTTGCGTGGCCAGCAGCGAGGAGTGATCAGACACTTTCCAGCCGCCAGTTGACAGGGTATTTGTACCGAGTAGGTTGAGCGAATGTCACTGCACATCTTAAGGCATCACTGACCCAGCGTGAACGCCTTGCCTCTCTTGCAACACTCACCAAAGATCCCAAACACTATGGCACCATCGCACCCCAGGAAACGC